GTAAGTAAGAGAACACAAAACACAATTGAAAAACAGGCAAATGGCTCGGCACCTGTAGCCCAGTGGTTAGGGCGCCGGCCACATACATTAAGGCTGGTGGGTTCGAGCCCAGCCTGGGGCTGCTAAGCAACAATGACAACTGCAACAAAAAAAATAGTCGGGCATTGTGGTGGGTGCTTGTAGTTCCAGCTACTTGGGAGGCTGAGGCAAGAGAATCGCTCAAGCCCAAGAGTTTGAGGTTGCTGTGAGCTGTAACATAGGCAAAGGACATGAGCAGTCACTTCGAAGACAACACACACAGGCACTGACAGGAAAGGTGTCCAGGAGGAGGGCATGTGGCGTCTCTGCCTCTGGGGCCGGTGCTGCTCTGTGGCGATCAGTCAGCACCACTCTGGGCACAGCAAGTGGCAGAGCTTTGCGGGATGTCATACTTTTGCTATGGTGATTCTACTTCTGAGGACTGATGCTAAAGAAATAATCCAAGTGAAAAAGAACCATGGAAGGAACTACTCATGAGGCTAGTAGTTTAATGAATGAAAAATGGGAAGTATAGACTAAGTTAGTATTTGTCCTCACAATTGAGTACTATCTAACTAAAGTGCTTTCAAAGAACTTAGTGGAGAAATGATCATATACTCATATTCAATGAATGAAAAAGAAAAACTCATAAGATTTGGGGTGATTTTTACTTCCTTCTTTTATTCTTTTTATATTTTCCAAAGTTTCTACAATGAACAAGGACCACAACTATAATTAGGAATAAGGGTGTCCATGCTGCTTTCCAAAGAAGGCAGGCTGGAGACACACCATGGCCTGTCCCTGAGAAGAGCGCAGGACCAGCTTCTGTCATCCAGACAAGTGGCTTCATGGGCATGGGAGGCTCAGGACCAGCAAGGTGAGGCTAGGTGAGGAAAACAAGCTTTTAAAAGATGTCAACTGTTCCAGAAAAGGTATTGATGATTGAAAAGGTGGAAAGCAGCCAGTAAAACAAGTTAAGTTTCAGAAGACAGGATCTGAAATGTTCTTAGCAGCAGGTGAATGCATTAGCAACTGCCATGGACGATGTCTGGCCACCGGGGCCTAAGGAAATGCCCCCGAGAGGGTGCTTCTGCTGGCTGGGACCCTCATGCAACATGCCTCCATGCTGGTGTTAGTCCCCTGGCCAGTGCCCAGGCAGCCCTACCCTTCCACCTGGAGGCTGATCTACCTGACCAGAGTCACACACTCCAGGCTGGCCTTTGCCTGTCTCATACAGAGGCCTGACATGTGGACTGGAAGCCCTCCAGCACAGGGCCTGCCTGTGAGCCCCCCACACCACACACGGGGCTGCAGAGGTGCCTGCTGGGTGAACACATCCCACGGTCACCTCAGGGTAGCAGCATGATGCCCAGGACACTGCCTCTGAGCTAAGGCCAGTACCATTGTCTCAGCTTCCATCTCTCAGCAGCCTAACAGGAAGGGTGAGGACACCTAGGCCTCTCATGGACTAGCTGTATCACTGCAAAGCTTTGCACAAGTGTTACCCACACCAATCATACTCCCTGATGCGTTGCCATCTGAATTTTGGTGAACCCTCTGGTTGTGTGCAGCTGGTCTTTTGTTTTAAGAATGCACACTGCAGGCTCGGCGCCTATAGCTCAACCGGCTAAGGCGCCAG